ATTTAGGTCAAAAATATACTGGCAAGAACGGGCGAAACCGGACTGCCCATACTTAAACCATCTATCTGAAGAAAATGTTCGTTGTTGAAAATGAAGTTGGTTTTAGTCGTTGTAAATTCTAAGAGAGAAGCAAAAAGTATGCTGGGGATGTGCATTAACTTGTTGGGGTCATTAATGCAGAGGTCGAGTGCAATATTGCAAGCTTCATTGGCGGGGACTTCGGTGAAGAGTGACACGACATCACACTAGCCATTAAGGCTTTCGAATTTAGTTGTTCTATTGTATATTTAAAATTGGAGGTATCTTTAAAAAATTAACCTGCAAATGTTACATATGGTGTGAGAACCCAGGCTATGTATTTGCCAAGATTGTAGTTGAATGAATCGTAAGTGGACAGTATAGGTCGTAGGGAGCAGTCCTACTTGCGTGGTTTAGGAATGCCATAGAGTTGTGGTGTGCCTGAATCAGTTTTACGTAGATAAAAATAAAGATCGTCAGTAATTGAATTATCTTTTTTCATTTGTAATAAAGTTCTGTTTAGTTGTTTTTCGTGTGTGTTTGTTGGGTTGTTTGGAATGGCTTTGAATTTCTTTTTATCGGAAAGGATGCCGTTCATTTTGTCTATGTATTCTGAGTTGTTTATGATGACAGTGGTGTTGCTTTTATCAGCTTTTAAAATTTTAATGTTAGTGTCTTTTTTTCAGAATATAAATGGATTTGATCTCGTTACTTGTGAGGTTACTTTTCAGTTTAGGGGACTGGTTGACTATATTAATAGTCTTGTTTGAGAGTTCTTTAAAAACGTTTTAAAAATGCAGTTTTTGGGAACTTCTGGAAAACCACATTTTGTTGTAGTTGCTTGTTACTGTCACGACAGTGGAAGTCACGTGACGATGGAAGCATGCGCGCTGGAGTTTCTAGAATGATCATGACTATCCTTGGCAACTCTAGTCTTTTCTAGGTGCTCTCTATTCTAGTATATAAGCCTGGCAAAAAACCATAGACATAATAGCAGATTGAAGAGAGATATAGAGACAGATAATTGAGTCAAGTGAGTGGTAGTGACCATAGGTAAAGTGCGTGAATCGTTGTGAATTATAGCGTATGTTTAAGTTAAAATGACTGTGGAAATTCTGTGTATTGCAAAGTTGTATTGAGAAAAAAACTAGTTTTATTTAAGAAAGGACTTGTATCCCTGAAGTTCATCGGAAAGAATTTTTACGTGAAATTAACAAACGAACAGAGACGTAACATTATAAAAGTATGTTGGTTGATGTCATGAATGTCTTCTTTCTGTAGTTAGATTATGTTTGAGGTAGAGGTGGTATTTTGTTCTTTTATGTAGTGGGTCACTAGTCTTCTGGCTAGATCTTCTAGGCACGTCTTGAACTCTAGGCATGGAGTTGTTTTATGGTTGACAGCAAAGTTGAGACCTTTGTTTAGAAGTTGAACTTCTGTGTTGTTGAGTGTCCGGTCAGATCTGTTGATTACAAGGTTAGGCTGAGCTGCATTGTTGTGTTTCACTTCACGTTGTTGTAGTTTCCTTAGTTGATCTAGTTTCTTATTGTATATAGACTTCATTTCTTGATTCAACAATGAGTTGTTTTGGTTGATAGCGCATTGCATATTGCTGTAATCATCTGGTTTGAGGTAGCAGGCTAGTTGATGGTCTAATTTCTGTTTGAGTTTTTGTAACTAGTCCAGTTCTTGATATTTTTATCCAAAACATGCAGAAAAAACTCCTAAAAGCAACCCTGAATTCCAAATATCAAGAACTGGACTGACTTCAGAAATACTAATATTGTCAATTTTAATTCACACACAAGATACCAGTATTTGCATTGGGATGACTACTTTGTATTTATGAAAACTAATGGTAGAATATGGCCATTTTACAAGGTAAGAAAATTTTTTCTAGCGTGTAATTGTTTTAAAAGTATATATATATATACATATATATATTGTTTTTGTAATATCTGTACATCCCCAATAACTTCATAGACCTTGTGTTCAATCAGATTTATTTTTGATTTTATTTTGTCTTTAAATAGCATCCCTTTCTTTTAACTACTGTTGCGTCAGCGAGGTCACGTGACTAGTATCACGCCACGTCCTTCTAGAAATATCCTGTTCCTTCATGGATGCTCTAGCGTTTACAAGATATGTGTTAGTCTTGTATATATAAGACGGTCACAACGTGACGGGAAGGTGTGTGTAATTGAACTGAGTATTGTT